GGGAGAATGATGCTCTAGAGTTGGCCAATCAGACCGCGCGTTATATCAGCTACAAACATAAGCCATATATTAAGATGGTAAAATTCAATGGTTAATCTGAAAATCATATATCCAGAGCACTTTCACTACTTTGTTTTTTAAATTGATGAATCTTTGTTTAAAAATGGTACCTAAAAGTGCAAGTATAAACCTTTACATTTGACTAGAGCTGATAGCACTTGAACAAACTTTTTGGGAAACATAACTTTGGATAATAAAAGGCATGCAAAAGTTTTTAACTATATGCAGTCACGTAGTATCGAGTAATAAATTGTTGCCGATATTTTACAATGTGTTCCTCTCTTCAGTGAATAAGAGAGGTTTTCTGTGGCATTTTTTTCAGTTTTAAATATTTGATCTTTGCCGTGCAACTACTTGAACCGGCCTAGTAGAAGCAAAGTTATACCCAATCATAGACCCAATCGAACGTTAATTGACAACAAAGGATGTACACGGACCGATGGATGGACGTAATATTTGAGTTATGGGTGTGAGGGTTGTTCAATACTCACCACTTGTTCAAGTGGTGAAGGTTAAGATTCAAGTGGTTCAAGTAGTACCACTCGTACGAGTCGTAAAATAAGGCTTACCAGTTGCACGACTTCAATGATGACGCGTACGGATACTACGAGTTGACAAAATTCCTTGCTTAATGAGATGGAGTTTCACCAGTTGCACGACTTGTNCATAACTTTGGATAATAAAAGGCATGCAAAAGTTTTTAACTATATGCAGTCACGTAGTATCGAGTAATAAATTGTTGCCGATATTTTACAATGTGTTCCTCTCTTCAGTGAATAAGAGAGCTTTTCTGTGGCTTTGTTTTCAATTTTAAATATTTGATCTTTGCCGTGCAACTTCTTGAACCGGTTTAGTTGAAGCAAAGTTATACCCAATCATAGACCCAATCGAACGTTAATTGACAACAAAGGATGAACACGGACCGATGGACGGACCTAATTTTTGAGTTATGGGTGTGAGGGTTGTCCAATACTCACCACTTGTTCAAGTGGTGAAGGTTAAGATTCAAGTGGTTCAAGTACTACCACTCGTACGAGTCGTAAAATAAGGCTTATCAGTTGCACGACTTGTACGACTCGTACGGATACTACGAGTTGACAAAGTTCCTTCCTTAATGAGATGGAGTTTCACC